AAAGTCCTCCAAGATGACTGTTGCTGTGATAAAGCGCTACACACAAATACATTGACTTGAATTAACAAGAATCTCGCAGGACATTGAGCCTGGCGTGTGACAGTAGCAGAGCTTGATGTCCCCGTCTCCTCCTGAGTCGTAGCAGGGCCCCGGAGCCAGCAGCAGGTGAGTCTAAAAGTGGAGAGCTGGCGTGTATGTGTTCATCAGTATGCATGGCCCTTGAGCTCTGACGCAGGTGTGGAGCAGAGAGGGGCCCCCGGTGCTCAGTGGGGCCATTCTGCAAGGTCAGATGTGTGCCCTGCATGCAGCTGGAAACTCACCAACACTGAGTCTCCACATCAACCAGAGACACGGCCGAGCACCAGGAACAAGGAGTACCAGATTTACTGAATGGTTTGAACCTACATTTAAAGCTGGGGCATGAAACCTCTTGGCATCTGCTGATACGTAATACATGTTTGTCCCAACAGAAAGAGTCCTGAAGGCTTAATGTTGTGCACAAATCAGACCATAACTGTCACTATTTGACTCTTTGGGCTTAGAGCTGATTGGCTGAGTGAGGGTGGTCCTCTCTTTTTCACTGGTCAGTCTGGAAAATCTGAAGATGTGACAGAGACCAGAGATACAGGGTGTGATAACTGTTGATAGAAGCCTTTTAGAGCCTGGAACTAGAGACATGGGTTTGTTTGGTTTTTTTGTGGAGAAAGATTAGGAACCCAAGCTTTAAACGTATTTAGAGAGATGTTTAAACAAAGAAAAAATGTTGCTGCCAATATTTGGTCCACCTCGGCGAATCTCACGTCAAAAAGGGGTTTTGCCGCTCACCTACTGCACATGCTCAGTTGATCTCTATGTCTGCTGACGTAGCCGCTAACACAGATTATTTGAGATTTTGACTAAATTACATGAGCAGCAAGAGCAAAAACAGTTCTGAAGTTAACAAGGAATATTTAACAAGGACTTTTTTCATGAAGCCAACAAAAATAACCGATCTAACTGTTTTTTTAACCTACGATAAATACCTGTCTGTATTTCAGATTAAATCCTCAAATGTGTTTTTCCTTTGCGATCGGTATCATCAGAATCAGAATTGTTTTTTGCTATTGTGGGTAACAAGAAGTCACAAACAAGGAAATTGCTTTGGCTCTCGGTGCAAACACGAATTAAAAGTTAAAATAGAATTAGGCATGCATAAAACAAAAAAATCTACATGACCTGGTTAGACTCTTTGGACATTTTCAAATCTCATCTCAAAACCTACTTTTTAAACTGGCTTATTCTTTGTAATGTTAAGAAAATATATATTCTGGACTTTTAATAATGTGTGTGATGTTTTTTTTATATATTTTGTAAGGTGTCCTTGGGGGTCTTGAAAGGCGAAATAAAATGAATTATTATTATTATTAAAACAATTCTTAAAATTACTACTATATACAAAAGCACTAAGTATATTTTGAAGGTGAACGATCGCTGCTACGACAGGACGAATCCTGCTTCAAAGCACGTTTACTTAAAGGTGCAGAAAGTGATGTTGTTAGCTTAGCCGTAGCACCAACTGGAAACCACTCCCCCCTCCCCTCCCCTTTCTACGGAACCAAGCATCCAGCTTTTTCTTTTCTTTGTCACAACAATGGAGAGTGGCTGGCAAATTGGCATTTTCTGTTTAGCCATTAAATGTTTTAGAAAATCTGATAACTCACGAGAAACAGGAAGAGGGTGAAGGGGGTAAACGCATCCCATTGGTTCGTTGGGATGAACGAATCCCATTGGTTTATTTTTATCGGTCCGCTCCAAAATATGTTTTATGAATTTTTGGAGACTATAGGCATCTGGTCAATTCCATTACTATTTGAAAACACATGATAACTTGACTACTTTTAGGGTTTAAGGACGTTTTCCCACGATATAAAAAAAAAACTGGGTCTGGAATAAAATCACTGACTGCATCTTTAATAATAAAATATGAAAAATATCTTAATTTTTTCTTCTAAACTTTCTAATACGAACTTAAATTATACTCTGTACACGGACCTGTTTCACCAATAGTTTGTACAAAGACGGTCCAAAAACAGATCCAACACCCCTTCATCCTGCGCACAATAAAAGATGTTAGCTTGATGCTTGCAGAGGACCATGTGCAGGTCTATTCTGGTTTTTATTCCTCAAAACTCTCCCTGCATCTCGCCGCATGGGCCGCTCACTCGCCTCTGTTTTCTGAGACCAAAATAACAGCTCTGTCTTATTAAGAATTATTCCGGTCCAAATGCGACGAGCTGCAGTGTCGTGCTCTGCTCTCCGCGGGGACAAGGCCATCTCTCCTCTGCGTGCGACTATTTTAGTGCCTGCCCATAAATGTCCGTCCTGCAGGCTTATTCAAATCAGCCCATTAGCCCAAACCGCTAACCCTGCTAGCACAGCCAGCCTCGTTACCGGAGCGTCTGCCTCGCTTTGGGGCCACGCCACGCACAGGCTGATGGGGACGCTGTGAGGAGGCAGAGGGATGTTGGACAAAGGAAAAATATGGCTGTTAGGAATGAATATGTGCAGAATTAAAGCCTACCTCAAGTATCAATATTTAAAAGAGACGTTCTGGGCTTATTAACTGTTCCTGCATCAGTCACCTGCTGCGTCTGAATAAAAAAAGAAACCTTTTTTTGATTTATATTTGCATGTTCTTTTTCTGTTTTTTTTTCTGAAAATGAATACAAATGTTGTCTTTTATCCACTGTAGGGAGTAACTTGATACAAAAGTAATGTAACTACTGTGATGTCTTGCTTTTAGCTGTAACGTTTAAATGAGAGGAATTCCAAAGAAAAAACTGGGTAAGATTTGACTCGGTACTAAAGACAGAAACATGCATTACAGAGCATTTTAACCCAAAATTAAATTGTTTTTGGTTTTCATCGGGCCCGGGACTCAATAAAAAATGTTTTAGAGGCTTTGTAATTAATGAAGCTAAATGAATTCCACATAAATATTTGACCTGAGAACAGTGAAAAGTATTTTATTTCTAATAGATTTTTAGTATACCATTGAATAATGACTGAACACATGGCAACAGTGGCTCAGTTGGTAGAGCATTGGCCTTTAAGCCTGAAGGTTGTGGGGTCGAGCCCACCATAAGACACTCCCACTGATGACTGCTGTTCTTGTGTCCTTGGGCAAGACACTTAACCCCACTTTGCCTGAAGCCCCCTCTGAATAACCAAGGCTCCTGTGGACTCAGCACCTGCAGAAGGATCAGTGAGGGGCTGGTGCTCTGTGTACTGGGTGCAGCTCTGACACTGACCCCCCCCCCGACTCAGAAATGGATTAAGGGGAAGAAAATGGATGGATGAATACATGGTCCAAGTCCAACAGACCAGTGCAACTTGCCATTAAGCAGCAATAGCATATTTAGAAATATAAAACATTTTGTCTTCTACTCAGTGCTCTACAGTCGAGTGTAATCCAGTGAGCTCGGCCACTGGTTATTTTTTCAGACGTGGACCTTCTTCCCCTGGTCTTTAAAGCAGTCACCTGGAGAGTGTGGCTCAGGTGTGGGTCTTTGTTCTCGGGCAAACGTCCATGCTAGCTGCACTGTGTTTAGCATATCGATGCTTCCATCTGTTTGTTTTTATGGAAAGATTTCATTTATGCGGCTAACCAATAAATCGGATTATTCCATCATGTTCATGTGGTTTGTTGTTGTCTAGAGCAGTGTTGCCCAACCTTTTTGAGCTGTGACACACCTTTTTCTTTTAAAACATTCACATGACACACCACCAGCTGAACCTGAAACACACGTTTTTCTGCCTTTAATTACATCCATCCATTTTCTACCCATTAATCAATTTCTGGGTCAGGGGGGTGGCAATCCCCCAAGTCTCATAGCACCAGCCCCTCACTGACCCTCTGCAGGTGGTGAGTCCACAGGAGGACACTCTCTGAGTGTGAGCATAGCCTTGATCTTTCAGCTGGGGCTTTGAGCAAAGTGGGGTTAAGTGTCTTGCCCAAGGACACAACGACAGCAGTCATCAGTGGGAGTCGGTGGAGAAGGTAGAGGTGGGAATTGAACCCACGACTTTCGGGCCTGAAGGCCAATGCTCTATCAACTGAGCTACTGTTGCCCCTTTAATTACAAAACAAAGTAATTCTGATCAAGTGGATTATATAGAAATTCAAGTGTATTTCACATTATTTTGACCATTTGGTGATATTGGATAATTTCCCAACGCACACCAAACAACCTCTCAAGGCACACTAACGTACCACTGCCCACCGGTTGGAAAACACTGGTCTGGAGCATAATCAGTCCAGAGAAACTCTGCTGTTAGAAAGGTTCCTAGGTGTGAAATGCTAAAAAATTATATTAATAACTAGTTGTTTTTGTGTAATTAATTAATTGTCCCAGCCCCACTTTTTATACTATTCCACCATGAGATCAGAGGAGAGAGAAATCTGCACCAATAATGCTGGCTACAAGTTTTTTCTCATGAAGCTGAAGCAGGGACTACGTCGACAATAGTACATTTTCAGATGGGCATTTTTCCAACATTTAGAAAACTCTAAATGTTGGAGAAATGCCCATCTTCAAAATATACTATTGTCGACGTAGTCCCTGCTTCAGCTGGAGACAAAGATGTGGAACATAACAATGAAGTGCACTTTATGTTGAAACCAAGTGTGTATAGTCATCGTATATTTGGTGAAAGTAACTTCAAAGTAATGCAGTAGTATGTAATGCTTTAGGATTCAGAGACAGTAATATTGTAGTTAAACGATTATATCCCATGTTCTTCTCGTTGGCTTTTGGTCAAGCAACCTTTCAGTTCGGCTCAAACCCACAAACAGAGTGGCACCCCCTGCATGGGTGCTGATGGCACATGGTGATTGCCTCGCTTCTGTCAGCCTGCTCCAGGGCAGCTGTGGCTACAGGAGTAGTTTTTATGTGCATGAATAATGTGATGTGTCTTTGAGAGCCAAGGACACAGTGAGGAGACAGGAGACTGGAACACATTTACCCGGCCTCCCTCTGTGGGGACGCAGGTACGGCGCCTCGCTCTATGGGGACACAGGTACAGCACCTCCCTCTGTGGGGACGCAGGTACGGCGCCTCCCTCTCTTTGGGACGCAGGTAAGGCGCCTCCCTCTGTGGGGATGCATGTACGGCGCCTCCCTCTGTGGGGACGCAGGTGCGGCGCCTCCCTCTGTGGGGACGCAGGTACGGCGCCTCCCTCTGTGGGGACGCATGTAAGGCGCCTCCCTCTGTGGGGACGCAGGTACGGCGCCTCCCTCTGTGGGGACGCAGGTACGGCGCCTCCCTCTGTGGGGACGCAGGTACGGCGCCTCCCTCTGTGGGGACGCAGGTATGGCGCCTCCCTGCCTCTGTGGGGACGCAGGTACGGCGCCTCCCTCTGCGGGGATGCAGGTACAGCGTCTCCCTCTGTGGGGACGCAGGTACGGCGCCTCCTTCTGTTGGGACGCAGGTACGGCGTCTCCCTCTGTGGGGACGCAGGTACGGCGCCTCCCTCTGTGGGGACGCAGGTACAGCGCCTCCCTCTGTGGGGACGCAGGTACGGCGCCTCCCTCTGCGGGGATGCAGGTACAGCGTCTCCCTCTGTGTGGACGCAGGTACGGCGCCTCCCTCTACGGGGATGCAGGTACGGCGTCTCCCTCTGTGGGGACGCAGGTACGGCACCTCTCTCTGTGGGGACGCAGGTACAGAGACTTCCTCTGTGGGGACTCAGTTAGTTTTAGTCCAGTTTAGTCCAAAAATGTATAATTTTGTTAGAATAATCAAATGAATCCTTTGGTCAAAATGCTGCATCACAAATCACTTGATGCTATGGAGATTTAATGTGACCCCTGACCAAATAGTGTTTAATATTATAAACAGGGGGTCCACATGCCCGGTCTATGACCCTTGAGAAACTTTTGAATCCCTGACCGCCTCAGCTCTTACCTTCCTCGGTGGGCACGTAGATGTTGAGGTAGAGACAGTCCTCGCTCTGCTGCGTCAGGTAGGCGTCGGCGATGTTCAGGTTCGTCGTTAGCCACGACGGCATCATGTCCGTTAGCATGTTCCGCTCGTCCAGCGACTGCGGACACACCGGTGCAAACTGCGTGGCGTTGCGTATCCCGGGCCACGGTAAGGCTGGCTCCGGAGGCTGAAACCTGCGCTCTCCAACCGGCGGACGGGCGTACGGAACTCCTAAATACTGCACCACGGGCCCCAGGAGGTCCGAGGGCAGAGGGGTCAGGACGCCGCGGACCCTGCCCTGCGCCGTGGAGATAACCGGCACCGACTGCTGCGCATCAGACCAAAGCACTCGCTCAAAGAAAAGCCAAAAGAGAAGTAGTCGAGAATTCCAAGAGAAGCCTGGGAGGAGGGTCGTCCTAAGTGTGGCGTGCATTTTTGAAGTGAAAGTAAAATTGTATTCCGTGAAGTCCGCTGGCGTGATCGGCGACGTGTTCTCATTCAGGAGCTGGAAAAGAGACACGAAACAATTATTAAAAATAAGCTTGACAACATGAACATTGAATTAGCTCAGGACAGTATTTCCTGACCGTGGACAGCAACTGACTTGTAGATCTCAACAAGTTTTTTGTTGTTGTATTTTATGTATTATACTGTGCAGCGATTGCTGTTGTAAATGTGCTATAGAAATAAACTTGACATTGACATTGAACAAACCTCCATGGGTTCCCGGGCGCTGTTACTACGGCGACCACTGCTCCTGATGTAAGCCTTTGCAGCATCAGGATGGGTCAAATGCAGAGGATTGAATTGCCCTACGGGGATTCATAAAAAAAAAAAAAAGTGCACCTCTAAGACAGGGGTGACAGATTTTTTAGTAAGAGGGCCACTTTTGTTCATCAGACTTGACCTGGGCCCGACAAACTGTATTTAAAAAAAACTGGATTTGAGCTGGATTCCGGATTTTAAAATGGGTTTTGATACGTCTTTATTGATTCACACAGCTCTATTTTATTTGGAATGTTGTGACAATAAAGTCAACAACTAGATGCCAGAGGGTCTGAGATTTACAGCAAGGTATAGCATGACTGTAGTGATGGAGCTGAAGTTGTACTGTATTTTGATACAGCTCTGAATAACAACAGGAGTCGCCTCAGAGGACTTTACAAAGTTGTGGATTCACAAACACAGATCAGAAAATCAGCAGTTAGAACACAGGAATGATAATAACAAACACAAATGTAAACAAATGTCTATGAAGGATCTTAAATGTCCCAGATCATCACTGTCCTTAAACCCGTCTGCATCGGCCTGGACCAACTCAGAAATGACAAACCTCGGGGTCCACATCGAGAGAGGAACTGAATACATCAAATGTCCCAGATCATTACAAAAAACAGAGGGAAAAAGGTGAGAAACCTCGGGGAGGCCCACATTCATCACTGGATTGTCAGACGTTTCAAATGACTGTCTGATGTTATTCCACAAAGGTCAATAAAACTGAGAAGGACTGAGGAAAGAGAGGGAGTGAGCGCTGCTGTTTGCGACTCAGCTGCTCTTCAGGATCCAAAAGCAAAAAGCTCAGTTCAAAAGGAGAAAAAGAGAAGGTCCGAGGCACAACTAACTTAAAGTAAAAATCCTTTAATTTTACGAGAAACCAACGCTAATGCTATATGTTAGCATTGGCTAATTCTTATCCCGGTGTAACAGGCCGTTTTATACCCCCTGGCCAGTTTACACCCGGGGTGTAATTTCTGATCATCTAAACAAGCAGCCTCTAAACAGCACTCTTAAATATTCACACTGTGTGGAAAGGTTAAGTGTTTTCTTAGATTTAGAGATTTTTGAAAATGTCAAATCCCTGCAATAGACTGAAGACTAGCACTGGAATCACACGCTCGGAGCGGAAGGACACTCAGAAATACTGTCCTGACGTTCACCAGCAGCAAGAGAGGGTCCTGTAGTCCTGCTGAATCCTTTCATAGACTCTGGTTACACACACGCTCCAACACACACACACACACACAGGAACACACATAAACGCAAACAGGCACACACATAAACGCACACAGGCACACACATACTGCTGTGACCCACCTTTGCTGTGGTTCCGCAGGGTGTGGCTGAGTCAGGGGTCTGTGGTGACTCAGGGGGTCTGTGGTGAGTCGGCCCCTTCAGTGGAGCGTGCGGAGTGTGCGGAGCGTGTGCGTCCCAGCCTTCGCCTCCATGATTATGTAAAGAGGAGCCTCGCAGCCTCGCCAAGGCCCCGCGCCGCCCTGCAACACAGCAATTTAATTCAATTCCACTTCCAATCCAATCCCATTCAATTCAATTCAATTTCAGAAAGGAGGAAATCCGAGGCACTCTTGAGTAAATAAGAAACCCTTCAATGAACAGGGCCCTCTTTTTTGTTTTTCATTAAGCGAGGCAAACAGTATGTACCTTCAGCCCATCCCACCACCACCACCACTACCACCCATTCACACACACACCAGACTCATTCTAATGTAGGTGAAGTGTCTTGCCTAAGGACACAACCACATTTTGGTACTTTACAGCCGCAGCTACCCCTCTGCGGTCTCCCATCACAGCACTAACCAGGGCCTGCCTTCCTGAGCTTCAGAGGACTGATTGGATCTGGCTTTCATCTACCGGTCTGGCCACAAATGTGAGGTGAAATAATGTTTGAGTCAAAATGATTACAATTACCAACACACCTGGAAGTAGATTTAAACTTTATACACACATAACAAATAACCCACACGGAGACGCCATCGAGCCCCGTCACCCCGAGTGACAAAAAACATATTTCATTAGACATAGGGCTGTACCAAGCTCATCCACTAATCACAACTAATGGATTATTATCATTTAGTAATCGATGAACGACTTATTGAACCGTCCACAGACTTAAACATGTGATAAAAGGTTTATGATCATTCTCCAATGACTGCAGATGTTCTCAGGGGAAAGTTTTGGAGCCAACTTTTGTTCAAGAAAAACCCAAATTCACGGAGTTTCACGTTGGCAGTACTTGGCTAAAAGGAGACCTGTGATTGGGTATTTAAGTATTGACACCGTACATGCAAAACACCAAACCGCGAAGTGTTTTTAGTGATAGTTTGTCTACTGGAAATGAAATGAAGAACAAACTAAGAACCCACTTTCTATTTAAAAAAACTTGAAACCAAATCAGAGAGAATACTTTTGTTCTAACATCTCAGTCCGTGATGTCAAAGACCGAGGGATGGTCAGACTGAGTGCGACACAGGGGAGTCTGTGCCAGCGTGGATGCAGCTAAACACGACTGCAGGTGTGTTTTTAATGAAGAGAAATATTAGAAAAAAAACTCATACATGATGATTTTCTATAAAGAGCGTGACTAATGGAAATGTCAGAGCACACAGACGGAGCAGCAAATGAGATCATCATTGGAGCGTGACAAACGATGTGCTGTAGATTCAACAGCACGACTGCAGCAGGTTTCAGGCTCAGAGGTAAAGTATTATCAAAGTATTATTATCTCCTCATAGACAAGAGGCCACAGCACTCTAGATCTCACTCTTAACTTGTTTGTGGTTCTTTTGAGAGATAAGTTAGATATATTTCCTCGTAAAAATGAATGAGATAATTCCGTTTCCGGGTACACCCCCACAGGCAAGGAGTCAGATTACAGACATGCACGAGCTCATGGACCCTTTTGAGCCGAGAGCCGCTCCCTCTGGTTGTACCTGGAAACAGAATTATCTATTGAATTCTTATGCTGAGGATTTATTTATTTTTTGACCAGCAGAGTTTAGCCGCTGTGGACTTTTGAATGCACTCGATAAATGGATGGGGCTCGTGCAGCTAAAGAATGCGGACACATGTTATTTCACATTTTCCTGCGGGAGGGGAAACGCGTGGCCATTTCGGCAGGAGGGAAAAGTGGTGACACATAAGTTTCAGCTGCGGATATAAGTCACTACGTCCGATAATGTTTACAGTGTATGGTTCTGAGTTGTCATGGTAACAGTTTAGGTGGAGGAGATTTTTCTAATTTCCACTGTGATATATATTGTTTTTGTTGTGTATTTCTTTAAAATAAATAACAGAGAACATTCATTTGCTCAGTTTCTTCAGTTTTTCATGTGTGGGTCAATATCCACCAGAACATAAGCTGTTATAAGGTTTTGCACATTAGTGGGAAAAAACCTTGTTGACTACACATGCTTTTATTCCTGTACAATGGATGAAAAAGCCATTGTAAGTATGTTTTTTCTAAACATGTTGGTTCACTGTTGGGTCAGGGAACTAAAAACAGACACAGAGGTATTCACAAAAATATTGGATCGCAATGCTGACACAGAAGCATGGAGACAGACAACTGGACGTCAATGCAAGCTGAACTGTGTATCCAAAAAAGGAAATTACGGAGAACATTTCTTAACTCCTCCCGTCCGACCAAAACTATATAAGCAGCATTTGTAAATATTTGAGAGAGTCTCGGATTGAACGGACTGCATGTGCCGCTTCAATTTGAACTCCCGTCCATCTTATATGTACATAAAGACCTTCCTCTACAACCACAAAGTTGAGTATTTGTTTTGTTACATTTCTCTGATTCATGTCATTGCTTACGCCACATTATGTGGGTGTTCCAGATATCTAACAACTGTGCTTATGCAGGCCCTCCGGTCACCAGAGGTTGTGAGGCCGTGATCTTATAAAATCACCTCAACGTGGATTTTAGCCATCATACTTCAGAAGCGGAACCCAAAGCCCACTCCTCAGGCCATGGAGGACTCACTTCAGAGGAGAGTCAACAACAGAAGAGTAAGCTAAGCTAACTTCAAAGATGCCAATTATGTGGTCAAAGATCAATATATAACATTGGTTGCCGGATGAAAACAAAAGGTATGATGAAGAGAAGTGGTATATGCCCAAAGAAGCTGCATTGGATCAAAGAGGCTGGTAAAGGTACGGAAGAATCATCAAAGATTGATGAAATAGTGACGCCTAAAGACAGTGTATCTGAATCTGGACCCCGACAGACAAAACTCCAAATGCAGCTCTTAACATTCCAAAGCTTCTGTGTAGTGCTTAAAAGGTTGAATTGGAAGAGGCTGCTCTCTCGGCTCAGGCAGCAGTGTTAAAGGAGAGACACAAGACTGAGTTTTATTAAATGCGTCTTTGGGCAAATAAACTGGACTTGGAATTAAAGATCGTTTTGGCCACCACCCAAGCTAGATTGAAGGTTTTGGACATCTCTGCCACATTTTGAGCAGACCGGCGATATCCCCAAGACCCTGCCTGCAGTCACCACACCCCAGTTCCCACAGCCTATAGTCGCCACACCCCAGCCACCTAGCTTACTGGACAGCTACCACACTATAGCAAATTGTCCAATTCCACAATCGGCCAAACAGAGAATAATCCAGAGACTACGCTCACAGTCGTTCACCGCCAAAATGACATCACAGAATATTTGATGAAGCAACAGAGACAAATGCTGCCAACCCAGACTACACCCATATTCAAAGGCAACCCACTGAACTTCAGACTGTTTGAAAGAGCATTCGAACACAGTGTGGAGCATAAAGCTGATTGATAGTTAGATGGAAGACAGACGACACCCGCGGACAGCCCAAGAACTCGGAGCTGCATGCATATGGACCCAGATATAGGGTATAGAACGTCCAGGAAGTTGTTTGAAGAACACATTGGTCGGGACTATAGCGTGGCTGTTGCCTGCATGAACAAGGCCTTAGGCTGGCCAACAATCAGGCAGGATGGAAAAAACGTCCAGTACGACAAAAACGGGTCGGGGTTAAGAGGAACTATTGTGTTGGGGATATAGTTTTGCTGGTGGGCAAATTGATGCCCCGAAACTCATGGGTTATGGGTAAGATCACTCAAATTATACCAGATCGGTTTAGAGTGTGTCTGCTTCATTATTTCAATGAAGTGCGGCAGCTGCTTCTCTGCTTTGAGAAGAACCAGTGAAGGTGGCTCATCTGTTTGGGATGCCTCCAGGCCTTGTTCCGGAGGACCAGGGGCAGGACCCAGGACACGTTGGAGGGACTTTCTCTCTCAGCTGGCCTGGGAACGCCTCTGGATTTGCCCCGATGAGCAAAGATCACTCAAATTATACCAGATCGGTTTAGAGTGTGTCTGCTTCATTATTTCAAGTAAAGAAAAAACTGTAGGCTGCTCGTGCAGACTCAGATAATGACTGCACTGTACTCCATTATTCGTTTGATGAGAACTTAAAAGGGAGATATTCAGTTTTACATGGAAACCGCAAAGTAGAGTGAAGTGTAGAGTCTGGAGGCAGCGCAGCCATCTGTGCTCCATCTGCTGTGGACCTGTTGGACCGGCCACACTCTGCCTGTCTGTGTTCAGGAACGCTCCAACTATCATCTGTAATCAAGGTACAAGAGCCTGAAGGAGAAATTCTGCAAAACTATTGTTCCTCATCAAAAACAGACCTTGTCACCTCTGCTCAGGAGGTGAGACGAATACCAACGTTTGTCTGTGAGCAACATCACTCAAATTTCAACAAACTGTTCAGGAAACTGTATTAGACTGTGGAGGTGAAGATGGAGCAGCGTCTGCACTCAGAGCTGTATCGGACTATTGTGGTGAAGAGGGAGAAGCGTCTGTAGTCAGAGCTGTATCGAACTATTGTGGTGAAGAGGGAGCAGCGTCTACACCCAGAGCTGTATTGGATTATTGTGATGAAGAGGGAGAAGCGTCTATATTCAGAGCTGTATTGGACTATTGTGGTGAAGAGGGAGAAGCGTCTATAGTCAGAGCTGTATCGGACTGTTGCAGGGTTGAAAGGCTAATCTCTCGGTTTACCGGTCGATCTCTTTTCCCTCCCTCACCTTTGGTCATGAGCTTTAACCGAGCTCCTCATGAACTTCCTCCGCAGTGTGGCTGGGCGCTGCCTTAGAGATAGGGTGAGGAGCTCAGTCACACAGGAGGAGCTCAGAGTAGAGCCTCTGCTTTGAGAGGAACCAGTGAAGGTGGCTCATCTGTTTGGGATGCCTCCAGGCCTTGTTCCGTAGGACCATGGGCAGGACCCAGGACACGTTGAAGGGACTTTCTCTCTCAGCTGGCCTGGGAACGCCTCTGGATTTGCCCCGATGAGCTGGAGGAAGTGTGAGTGGAGAGGGAAGTCTTGGCATCTCTGCTTAGACTGCTGCCCCCGCGACCCGGCATTGGATACAGTGGAAGAAAATGAGTGGATGGATGGATGGCCCAGGGAACAGGTGATTCCAAAGGTTGATCC